AGTTGCATGTATATCGAGTAGTGGTCCTTCCGACCCCGCTACATGGCAGTGAGACATGGGTCACCTACAGGAGGCATCTCAAGGCACTTGAAAACTTTCACCAACGTAGTCGACGTTCTATCCTTCGAGTTCGCTGGGAAGACAAGAGAACAAATGTCAGTATTCTCGCTGACACCAACTGTAGGAGCATCGAAACTATTATTATCCATGAACAACTACCCTGGACTGGCCATGTTACCCGCAGCTACTTTACAGTCACCAACGAATACGAAATGTAACGCTGGCAGGCAACTGAAAAGGTATAAGGATAGTCTTAAGACAAACGTGAAAAAGTGCCAAATCGACCCCCTCACCTGGGAGACGATTACTTCACACCCTAATGCTTGGAGGAGCACCATAGAAGAAGGTGTCAATACTTTCGAGTTAGCCCGACTGCATACCAAGGCAGACAAGCACCAACGCCGGAAAGACGCTGCCACCACCCCTCCAGCACTAGGGGTAGCCCTCCACACGTGCAACATCTGTGGACGACCCTCCTGGTCCCGTATCGGCCTCTTTAGTCACCCTTAATAACTCATATCATTGTATTATAGCTGGATTATCATCATACTCGATACTGAGTGACAGCAAAGTAATATTTGCCGCCTGACTCATGTAGTCAGCCTACTCGTCCTCTTCTTAAACACTGTTTCAAAAGTGATCGTGGGCCCTTTGTGCCCGGTGGCGAGTCCGGTGGTACAGTTTACCCATGCGTGAAAGTTCGAACGCTCGTGCTTGGCTAGCGCGCGAAACCATCTACATGGGAAAAGATTTGTTCCACGTTACTAATTTTTTGCGATTTTTCCACCAAGTTTGATGAAAAACGATTTCGCCGTTTCGGCTGCTCAGAACAGACACACGGCTATTCCTATAGTATATTAGATAGATAGTCGTGGTTGGTATAATCATGGTCGTGGTTGTTATAATCATGGTCGTGATTGTTATAATCATGGTCGTGGTTATTATAATCATAGTTGTGGTTGTTATAATCATAGTCGTGGTTGTTATAATTATGGTCGTGGTTGTTATAATCATGGTTGTGGTTGTTATAATCATGGTCGTGGTTGTTAGGTACTGTAAGTATCTAGTATACTATAGCAAGGAATAGAATAAAGGTTAGAATAATTATTTAAAGAAATATTCGCCATAAAGAGAGGTTAAAATCATAATTTTTTTTATTATGAATAGCCGATGATCTTTCCGAGATAAATTATATTTTCAAGAGAAGTGACTTTGATTCTGGTTAGATTAGTCACTATCTGCTTAAGTCATCACCTGTGCTAAGTCATCATAGTCATCATCTACATTAGTCAGTTTTAGGCCCATCTCACATGACTGACCGACCATCGATGTTCATTCCGCGCGAGGGTGTTAGTTTGCAATGCGTCTTATTATTTACGCTGGTGGATGTAAGACCTCCTACCCTCACTGACGTAGCTATGGTCAATTTGGTGTTATTCTTGTTTATAAATGCCTTCTAATCTGTCTCAAGTCTATCTGTCCTGTCTATTGCCATCCCAACTGTCTGTTCGTCTGAGTAGTGTTTGACTGTAAGCCTGTCTGTACTCTTTGTGTCGTCAAATCTGTCTGTCTTATCCGTTGTTGGCGTGTGTCTGCCTGTTTGTCTAAAGTGAACCAGTCAGTCAGCTCTCTGTCTGTCTGTCATGTTAGTTGCCATATTGTCTATTTATGCATATATGAATCTGTTTATTTTTGCAACCTCCTGTCTGTTTCACTGTCTATATTCACCCTGTGTCTATTGTAGTCATCTTCTCCATGCATTCCTGTTATTATCATTTTATCTCTTCTCCTTTTCCATGTACATTCAGCCACAGGCATAAGTATTAACTGTAGCTGTAAGGTCATCTGGTAGCGTTAAAACTGCAAATCCAGACGCATGATGAAACTCAGCTCCCCCCACCTGTTATCTCTAACTATTTTCTGTTTCCCCCTTCTTTATTCTTCTATTTACTCATCTTTCTTCCTTTACTAATCCAAACAACATTAAAAAAAAAGTAGGCTAAGAGAAAAAGTGGGGGGAGGAGGTGGGAGCCGTACGATAACTGCAATCGTCCAGCCGGCTGACAACGTACAGCGACAACTTTTGCCAGCGTAAATAAAATGGTTAATTAATGCCTTCTTAAAAAAAAGCATCGACATGGGACCAGGTTTGTTACCACTCTACGAATTTTTTTGCGATTTTTCCACCAAGTTTGATGAAAAACGATTGTGCCGTTTCGGCTGCCCAGAAATGACAGACAGACAGACAGACAGACAGACAGACAGACAGACACACGGCTATTCCTATAGTATATTAGATACAACCATATTCAGTATAAATCCAAACTTTAATATTCTTACTCTTTCCATATTCCTTGTACTGTAGCCCTTTTCACCATACACACTGTCCAAACCTTCTGTGTGTATCCCACATGGCCGCTTAGGTCACCACCAAGCATTTTAACTTCCTCTCACCCAGCTCCAACACTCTCACCTCATTCCAGTGTAATATCACGACTTTTGAAGTTTGCCTCTTACCTTCTTATGTCTATAACTTTCTTGGTTATATTTCTTGTATTTTCTTCATTTTCTGTCTTTCTTGGTGCTTATTGTATTTCTTTTAATACTTTTGCTTATTTGTTTATTTTCTTTTATTCTCAGATTTACTTAGTTATATTCTGTTCCGTGGATTATCCTGGGAGAACCACATTCTTCTCTATTCCTACACACGAGTGAAATTACTTACATTCTCCTGCTGCCAACAGTAGCAGTGATGGTGTTAGTAACAGGAAGTGGTGGTAGTAACAGCAGGAAGTGGTGGTAGTGATAGTGCTAGTAACAGGAAGTGGTGGTAGTGAAGGTGCTAGCAACAGGAAGTGGTGGTAGAAGCAGCAGGAAGTGGTGGTATTGATGGTGCTAGTAACAGGAAGTGATGGTAGTAGTAACAGGAAGTGGTGGTAGTGAAGGTGCTAGTAACAGGAAGTGGTGGTAGTAGTAGCAGGAAGTGGTGGTAGTAGTAACAGGAAGTGGTGGTAGTAGTAACAGGAAGTGGTGGTAGTGATGGTGTTAGTAACAGGAAGTGGTGGTAGTAGCAGCAGGAAGTGGTGGTAGTGAAGGTGCTAGTAACAGGAAGTGGTGGTAGTTGTAATGAGACAAAATCTCACATGAAGAGGTAAGTTAGGAGTTTATAGTAGTAGAGTATTATAGCGAGAGGAAATGGTAGCGTGTCTCGAGGGTATGATGTCAACACTGTATATTAACACAGGCGCAGTACAAGTGTAGTATATAAAACACCAATGCGTGTTACAGCTTTATTTTACTAGTTCAATAGGGGGGATTAATAGGGGGGGTTCGTACACAATTTATGGTAGACTATGGTATTCTCGTATAACCTAACCTCACAATTAAAATGGGCACTTCACTAAGTCGATCGTTGGGGAGGTTCGGGATCACTGCACTTCTACAGTCTACACAGCCAGCACTTACTGTTACACGTGGAGTTGACAGCACTTTGTCGATGGACCCAGCTGAGACTTCGTTACACTTAGTGGTGGGCTTCTCTCGAGCGGGACTGGGGACGTGGTAGCTGGCCCTCACTAGTTACAAGACAACTGCTTCTCTGCCAATCCGCCCGAGGGAGGACCAGGACGTCCTATATATTGGGATGCGAGCCGACAGGTTCAGCTGGCCTGGGGGGCGGCGAAGGGTCTCTTTACATTTGACCCCGCAAATGTGCGGTCAGGCCTGGACCTTTTCAGAACTATCTGGGAAAGTCATCAGGTGGGGCCATGTGTATATTGGGAGAGCAACCGTGAGAGTTCCCCTACACTTGACTTCCCAAACGTCGGGCCAGACTGGAGTTTCTGAGATGTAAGGAGAAGTCGTCAGGTGGGGCCGTGTAACACGAGAGGCCTTGAGTTGGGCTCCAAGGGTTACAAGTGACCTGGCTAATTGTGAGGTCAGGTCTGGACTTCTTTCTGCGGTGTAGGTTATTGTATATTGGGAGAGAGTCGGCTGGTGCCTTCTTACATGTGTGACATGGGAGGGGGAGCTAGTTGGTTTACAATCCTTGGTCAACCGCAGAGTTACCCTATACTTTTGGCCTCGGCTAATGTCCGGTCAGACTGGAGTTTCTGAGATGTAAGCTGTGGTCTGACAACCCCTCACTACATAGTGAAGGTGCTAGTAACAGGAAGTGGAGGTAGTAGTAACAGGAAGTGGTGGTAGTATCAGCAGGAAGTGGTGGTAGTGATGGTGTTAGTAACAGGAAGTGGTGGTAGTAGCAGCAGTAAGTGGTGGTAGTGAAGGTGCTAGTAACAGGAAGTGGTGGTAGTAGTAACAGGAAGTGGTGGTAGTAGTAACAGGAAGTGGTGGTAGTATTAACATGAAGTGGTTGTAGTGAAGGTGTTAGTAACAGGAAGTGTTGGTAGTAGTAGCCGGAAGTGGTGGTAGTAGTAACAGGAAGTGGTGGTAGTTGTAGCAGGTAAGTGGTGGTAGTAGTAACAGGAAGTGGTTGTAGTGAAGGTGTTAGTAACAGGAAGTGGTGGTAGTAGTAACAGGAGGTGGTGGTAGTAGTAACAGGAAGTGGTTGTAGTGAAGGTGTTAGTTACTGAAAGTGGTGGTAGTAGTAGCCGGAAGTGGTGGTAGTAGTAGCAGGTAAGTGGTGGTAGTATTGGGAGGTGGTGGTATGGAACACAGTAGATAAAGAGCTATAAGTTTCGGATGTCGCTGGTAATTCAGCAGTGGCGTGATGTCATATATGTGACGTCACGGGCCCTACGTAAAAGTGTCTAAGAGAATTCGTAAAAATACAATCAGGAACAATATCTGGAATCTCCTGATCTATTATTGCATTTACTTGCCAGTTTGAAAAATTGCCTGTTTGTAATGTCGCCTTAACAAATGACAGTAAGTATTATATTTGAAAGATGGATTCATTATAATGCACATTTCATCCACAGAACTCAATCTAACACTATCTACGAGATCTCCTACTGCTACACGGGCATAATTGCTGTGGCGCTGACATTTATAATCAGCTCTCTCGTCTCTCTGTTGACAGGTGAGAACATTTTTTCCTCTCGGTATCGTGCAGCTTCTCACTTACTTTATATGAAAAGTGCCATTTGTATATTTTGTCTTTGTCCTGGAAGAATTACCACCCAATATTCAAACATGTACTGTAAAAGTAATTATTTTTTAGCATAAAGCTAATCTGTGCAAGTTCTTGTTGATATAACTCTATAGATTTTGTCTGGTAATTCTACATTGATTGTAAACATTAGAGTCAGATTTTATTCAAGTAAAATTATCATGAAACTTAGATATTGACTAATGATGATTCATAAATAATGATAAATTAGATAACAGCTTCGTTAATCCTGGCAGGTCCTAACAGCCCTGAGGATGTGAGTAAGGGAGTGGTGAGTCCGGCATGTGCCAGAGCCTACAAGCGTGTGTGGGAGAGTGTGAAGGGTCGCCCCACTTACACAGTCACCCAAGACATTATCAACGAGGAGGAGGAGGCGTTTAAGATGTTGCCCAGACATAACACAGATAACCTCAACACTTCCTCTTAGTTCCCTCCAGCTGGTCCCTCTCTGAGACTCTTAGTTCCCTCCAGCTGGTCCCTCCCTGAGACTCTCAGTTCCCTCCAGCTGGTCCCTCCCTGAGACTCTTAGTTCCCTCCAGCTGGTCCCTCTCTGTGACTCTTAATTCCCTCCAGCTGGTCCCTCTCTGAGAATCTTAGTTCCCTCCAGCTGGTCCCTCTCTGCGACTCTTAGTTCCATCCAGCTGGTCCCTCCCTGAGACTCTTAGTGCCCTCCAGCTGGTCCCTCTCTGAGACTCCTAGTTCCATCCAGCTGGTCCCTCTCTGAGAATCTTAGTTCCCTCCAGCTGGTCCCACTCTGTGACTCTTAATTCCCGCCAGCTGCTCCCTCTCTGAGACTCTTAGTTCCATCCAGCTGGTCCCTCCCTGAGACTCTTAGTTCCCTCCCAGCTGGTCCCTCCTTGAGACTCTTAGTTCCCTCCAGCTGGTCCCTCCTTGAGACTCTTAGTTCCCTCCAGCTGGTCCCTCTCTGAGACTCTTAGTTTCATCCAGCTTGTCCCTCCCCGAGACTCTTAGTTCCCTCCAGCTGGTCCCTTCCCGAGACTCTTAGTTCCCTCCAGCTGGTCCCTGAGACTCTGAGTTCCCTCCAGCTGGTCCCTCCAAGAGACTCTTAGTTCCCTCCAGCTGGTCCCTCCCTGAGATTCTTAGTTCCCTCCAGCTGGTCCCTCCCTGTGACTCTTAGTTCCCTCCAGCTTTTCTACACATTGATTTTTTTAGTCTCTCTTGTTGCGAGTTGGGGATTTAGAATATAGTTTAAATGTCTACCCAGATCCCAACAGGCAACAACAACAAAAAAACAAAGACAATCTGACTATAAAAGGGTAGACAAAGGATGAGAGTTTTTGTTGTGTATAATAAAGTACCATAAATTCCTTAACAAAATATTCAGCTTTCTATAATTTACCTTTAACCATACTTAACCTAAACATTAACAGTATATACATATTTATACAACATACAACAATTTGGAAGCAAGGTGGAGGTGGGGAGGCAATATAAGATTACAAATACTTAATTGCGGAGCTGAGATGGCTGACGAGTAAGGCTGAGTATTGTAGAAGACGGTAGGTAGTCACTGTGCCGTAGGTTTCCAGGATAGGTGATCCTGTGGTCACTTCCCAGAGTGAACTGAACTCTCATCGAACTGGAGCTGACGAAGAAGACTTTGAGGAGGTGACGCAACAACCAGGATATGGAGAAGGGAAACCGTGGAGTGGTAACTAAGAGTAGTCATACTCGGGTTTTGTCCCTAGATGGCGTTGCTCGTGGTGCTGGGTAGGTAGATCATGACAATTGGTGGCGTGGTTCGTAACACTCATTAATGTTTCACTCTGATTGTTTTTTCAGTGTGTCTGATTATCTTTCATTGTCTGTTTTTGTATGTCTTTGTCTTATTCTGACTCTAAAGAACAAGGATAATAATGATAAAAGAGGAAGAAATAAGATAAGAACCGACAGACAGTAACAGAAGATAAAGCTCTATCTCCATCTGTCTTCCTGTGCGTCTGTCCAGCTGTCTATAAATTTTCCTTCCTATTATTTTCTTCTTGGTCTTCTAGGCATTAATATCCTCGTTTTTTGTGACCCTTCACCATCTCTCTCTCTCTCTCTATCTCTCTCTCTATTCAATTTTTGTCACTTTTTTAGTCCTTATTCTCATGCTTTGTTTTGCCCTTTACTTCTTCGTCTTCGTTTTCTTCCTGTATTTAACTTATTCATTATTTTCATTATCTCCCTTCATTCTTCGTTTCTCCCTTGTTTATTTGTTCTCCATCCTTCATTTTCTGTTCATTTTTATTATTCTAGTTTTTTATGTTTCTTAAATACTGTAGTAGGTTTATCCGTAGATACTTATTACACTGTGGCAATATTTCGATTTTAAAGTTTATTTTTTTTAGACTATAAGTTAGGATACTTGGAAAAATGGTACAGTAAAAAATGGCACTAGTTATATCACTGTTTCTCAAGGGCAATGAACATGTGGACTCTCCTGGATTTCATATATATATATATATATATATATATATATATATATATATATATATATATATATATATATATATATATATATATATATATATATATATATATATATATATATATATATATATATATATATTACGAAGCTTCATTTAGAATATGCTTGCGAACCCGACTGGTACCTGACCATAATAGACCCGTGTTTGACTGCTCATGGATAGGCTCTCCGGAGCTCCGTATATGTGTTGATCAGATCTCGAACGGGGTTGTAATGAAGCGGTGCACCAGGGAGGACGGCAGAGCATTCCGGGACGGACGAGGGTGTGGAGCTGGTGGTCAGTGGAGCCGGTTGTGGTTGATAGCAAATTGTGTTACTCTGGCTTAGAATGTAATGTAAGTTTCTAATGTTTATGTATATTTCTATGTGGTAGGAATAGGGTGATTGTTAGAGTATTGTTTTATATTTATGTAACTCTTGTATGAGTGTGGCGATTGTTAATGTTTGATTATTGCTGGTTGTTAGTGTTTCTTGGCAATGTATTGTGCATTCCAACATTGTGTTTGCTACTCCTCTCCTATAGTGATGTAGAACACCTGAGTAAGACTGAATAGTGCAGTAGCAATAGGCTAAACATGAGGTGAAATGTAAGTAAACAAAACGTTCGAGTCTGTGGAGGTCGGTTACCGCTCGGTTCCTGGTAGGGTGTCCAGATCAGGAACATAAGTACGTAGCAATATATATATATATATATATATATATATATATATATATATATATATATATATATATATATATATATATATATATATATATATATATATATATATGACACGAAATATTTAAATAAAATTTAATAACAAAAGTTTTCAATAATAAATGTGCATGTTAAATAATGGGTGGATAAATTAATTCAAGAAAATAAATATACATGATTATTTGACTTTGGAAATATTTAGCATAGGACAAACTATCGTAGGTATGATATCGAACTATCTCACTTGTTAACACTTGCCTGAATGAGTGTATCTTAGTTGCTGGTACCTTTGAAGCAGCTGAGGGAGATATCAGGTAATCTCACGGCGTGTCGCCTTTGATACAGTCGTAGATTGGTTTATAGTCGAAATCGTCACAGCTGTCCTGGGTTGTACTTGTAATTATCTTCGCTTGTAAGTCAAACAAAACACACAGATAATGTTCTCTTCACTTGTTGTTCCTTGGTTTAATGTAAACACACGTGGTGATTTTCTAGTTATATTGGATAGTCATGTCTGTACAATTATTTGGTATTGACAGGCTAATGAGCATTAGCTATTAGCTTGCAATTAGCTGATATAATTTGAGAGAGGTACAGCCTGGAGAGCTGGTCTCACGACACGACTTTAGAGTATCGTGTCGAGCTGTGAACTGGGGAAACTGTGATGTCCTCTCTTGAGTCTGATGGTTGGAGAGCAACCGAACCTTCAACACCGACATTATCTAAACAGCCTACTCACACACGGAGGGTTGAGTCTGTAGACTTATGGGCTGTACACCCGAGAAGGTGTGAATGAACAAATACTTATGTAGCAGTATGCTCAATAGTCTGGGTGATCGAATGTATACAATGAATATATGTCCTAGCCAGGGCCGTCCCTAGGAGGGTGCGGGGCCCGGGGCAACTCAGTCACCGCGGGGCCCCAGAAAAAATATATATGGAGTCAGATTATGCGGTCAGAGGAACCCACCCCCACCAACCCCCATGGGACTGTCGCTATGGATGGTAAGGTAACGGTTGCGATGGTGGCGTAAGCCGTCAGGTCAGATTAACCAGTCAACAGGTAATGTGTCCGAGGTCACTGCGTCTAGTGCTGGGGCCCGCTGGGCCCCCACACGCGCGGGGCCCCGGACGGTCGCCCCTGTTCGCCCCCTCCTAAAGGACTGGCCTGGTCCTAGCCCATATTTATATAATATTAATGTGACAGAGACTAATACATCGCTCGGCTACCACCCACCGTGTTCCACGCTGTGTAATATCCATGCAGATAAGCCCTATGTGTACCTAACCTTGTTATAATGAATGTGTGCTTTAGCTAAGCTAAGATCTTCAATTTTTATGTAAATGGTGGTTGAGATTCAATGAAACTTGCCAACAGTGCCTTTCTAAATTGTATTTCTGCACGAACCAAAAATACTCGTGGTGTTGATAAAAGGGTGGGAATACTGAATTTTCATAAGATTTCAAGTTAAAATTTACCTAGCAAAAAATAAAAACTTTTCAAATCTGAAGATATCACATGATTCTGCACATAGAACTACATCATTAATACCATAGGCCGATTTTTCAAACTCAAAAAAAAAAATCGCCTCCGTATGACACACCCTACTGTAACATACTTACAGGACCTACACAACCTGTATATACCATGGATGATTATGCAAAAAAGCAAATCAACGTCTTCACTGACATCCATGGAAAAGTGCATAAAAAATTAGCAGCATTGCGCGCTGAAATTATTTACGAGCAACATAAACAGGCTGTCATGATAAGAGAACCTGAAAGTATCTCTAAACTTTCGCCGACATTTTCAGGACCCTTCTTGATAATTGCCAAAGAGCACGGTAACAAATTCAAATTACTTAAACCAGATACACATATTACGGACGTAGTACACGTGGACAGATTAAAAAAGGTGAGCCCTGACTTGTTTCCCACCATCGTACACGACGTTCCTACACAAGCAGTAGTCTCTACGTCTGCACATAATTAAAACCAAAACGTCCAAGACGTACCTACGCAGGTCGTAGACATTACAAACACACAAGCTGTATCCAATGAGGATCGTATGAAACAACGTTCTGTACGTACAGATTAAGCGTAGATAGATGCACATCTATATACTACAGGCTCAGTAATGTGAATGTCATATAACACAAGCTATTATTAATCTCCTTGACGCTTTGCAGATAGCCAAGAAAGATCTTTAATTAACCCCTATCTATGTTGTTATTCATGTCTACTGTATATATCCTATTAGGGTGTGTCATACAGAGGCGAATTTTTTTTTGGGGGGTTTGAAAAATCGGCCCATGGTATTAATGATGTAGTTCTATGTGCAGAATCATGTGATATCTTCAGATTTGAAAAGTTTTCATTTTTTGCAAGGTAAATTTTAACTTGAAATCTTATGAAAATTCAGTATTCCCACCCTTTTACCAACACCACTGAATAGCTTATTTAAAGTAAAGTAAATGTATCAGGTTAATTTATTAGGATGAAAATGATCCAGAATAGTGAAACGAATGATCTTGACACATTTATTAAATTTAATATTCCTTTAGAAAACAATCATCAAATACAAAAACCGGTTTTACTACTACGACCCGGTGTTGCTGCACACCATAGAGAACATGTCTTTCTTGCTTCTGTTTCTACTCATCACCTCCCTGCTGACCACCTGAGCTCGGATGTAGCCTTCCCTCCTCTCCTGGCTGTACACGTGACTGCTGGCCTCGCTCACTTGCTGTACACAACGCTCTATACTCTGGGTGTGCGAGGGCCAGGCAGGGACATGCATGGGGTTGTCCAGGAAAGCTGGCTTGAACATTGGTGAGGCTGCAGGTAGAGGGGGCTCACTGCCAGCCTGGATGTTATCCAGATCTATGAGATCAGTGAGGGTCTTGGCACCTAGATTGACTTCAGGAGTCTTCCTGACCCTGAAGAATCGTCACCAA